ATGCTCAGTGCGTTCATATGCTTATTGATCTTCGTGATAGTAATGTCCGGATCGTTGAAACCTATCGTCCTACCGTTAAACTTCCACACGATCTCTACCGGAGAATCGCCTTTCATTATTGTACACGTTGCCGAGACCATGTCGCCCGAGTTAGCCGGTCCATCACTGATCGAGAATGGCCCTATATGCGGCGCAACTACAAGGACATCGAAATTTCGTTTAGCATTCATGGTTGCACGGTACGTTGATTAATCGCTGTCGATCCTGTCCCAGCCGCGTCACGACCCCGTAAAATGCCTCCTGTGTCCCTCGTTGCGGAAAGCAATAAACCGAGGAAAGGTCTCGATAGCCAATCGCGTCGCAAACCCATCTCTAAATTATCAAACGCTGCAGCAGGGACACGGGAGACTTTTCATGGGGTAAAACCTTCGCCTGAAATACTTTTTCACATATACAGGGTGATGCACGTACAGCGCGACAATTGAATATCATCGAAAATATCGGTGATAAGAAAGTTAAAAGAAAAATTGAAGTATTTTAGGGGGGGGGGGGGCACACTTGTTCCGACGTGTTTCAAGTTTTTCAACGACTTTTTCGTCAATTTTCAACGAAACAATGTCAGACAGCCTCTAATGAAGAATCCCTAAACAAACCTATCTGGTATTCATCGAACCTCCTCTCCTCTTCGACACTGCAGGATCGAAGGAAACGTGAAGGATGATGGAGTGTGTCATGTACATGCACGAAACGAAAAAGATAAAGAACAGAGACTAGAGGGGGGAACGAGAGAGAATACGGTAAAGCACGTTATACCGTTCACTGCTAGAGATGCGGTATAACTCCTTCCACCAGCTGCGTTGCTGACAGAGCACGTGTACTCTCCCGCGTGTCTCCCTGTCACCGCATCGATGGTCAGCAGACTGACGCGTTTGCTGGTGTTTACTATCGATATGTCGTAATGATTACGAGTGATCGGCTCGCCGTTTAAGGCCCACTCGATTTGGATCGGGGCGTCCCCTTTCAGCACTGTGCACGTTGCGGTAACGGTGACCCCCCAATTCGCTGGTCCCTCTCCAATCACGAATGGCACGATTTCCGGTGCAACTGCGGCCACAGGAGAACAGCAGAGATGCTTAACTCTCTGTACGTGATGTGAGAATGAAAGTAAAGAACGAAACGACCCTTTTTTCTGCGAACGCAGACTGTGAAAATCGTGGTGTTCGCCTAATTCCACATGGACGACGATCTTTTCCCTTGGAGAAAGGGCAATTGAAGGAACCAGGAGGAGGAGATGATCGATCGTGGAGATGAGAATGGGAAAGCAGATTTGTCCAGTACCGCGCATGCATCGAGAAAATAAAAGAAATCGAGAGGGGTAAGGAAGACGTATTGTACCATTCACGGCCAAAGTCGCGGTGAAACTCGTTCCACCGGCGGCGTTGCTGGCCATGCAGGTATATTCCCCGGCGTGATTCGCCGTCACGGCGTCAATCGTTAACAAACTGACGCGTTTGCTGGTCGCGATCGATATATCGGGGTAATCGTGAGAGATCGGTTCACCGTTCAGCGCCCATTCGATCTGAATCGGTGAATCACCCTTCAGCATGGTGCAGGTTGCGGTGACCGTTACTCCCCAGTTTGCTGGTTTCTCACTGATCACGAACGGAGCTATCTCGGGGGCAACTACCAGGAACAAACAATCCTTAATTGGTCTAATTGTATCGTTTTTTTTTTTCTCCCTCTATCGAATACCAACATAGACACGATTGCACGTTCATAACCATCGCTGAATACTCGAAGACTATTTAGAATGAGATTCCAAGCCTCGAGACCACCGACGCCGACTGGAGGCAATGAGGAAAACAGTGATCAGAGAGTTAGAGAAGGAGTACAAAAGTGGGAAGATGTCGGAGAGATGTCTCAGATTAGAGGAATTGTACCATTGACAGCCAGGATGGCCGAATGACTGGTCGCTCCAGCTCTGTTGGACGCGGTACACGTGTAATCTCCCGCGTGTCTCGCGGCAACCGACTCGATGCTGAGGATGCTATTCTTTCGCGTGGTCGCCAGAATGTTAACGTCTGAACGATCACGGCTGATCGGTTCGCCGTTTAGTGCCCATGTGATCTCGATGGGTAGGTCGCCCTTGAGGATGGCGCACACCACGGAAATCGACTCGCCCCAGTTCACTGGTTCCTCGGTGATTGTGAACGGAGCAATCTGCGGTGAGACTGTAACCGAACACTTTTGCCAATGTTTTTCTGTTCGTCGTGAGAAAATCACTCGTGAGAGTTAAACCCGAAAACACCCTTTTGCGATTGATCACCTCGAAGTAAGTACCTATGTAACACGAGATACATAACGGAAGCTGTGTATACGTGGGAGATTACGATGAACGAGAGGATTGTAAAAAAGAGGATGAAATTGAAGGTGATCTAAATGTTTGTTCTCGGTGTCTGTCTACATGGGTTAGGTACCATTCACTGTCAGCTCCGCCGAATAGCTGGTGGCGCCTGCTGCATTCGCGGCCACGCAGGTATAAGTTCCCGCGTGACTAGGACTGGCCGAGTCTATGGAGAGCAGGCTGTTCCTTTTCGTGGTAGTCACGGATATCCGATGACTCTCGTCGATAGGCATACTGTTCAACGCCCAGCTGATCTCGAGCGGGGAATCCCCGTTGACCACGGTGCAGACAGCCGATACGGAATCGCCCCAATTCACGGCTCTGTCCGCCATTTCGAACGGGGCAATGCGCGGCGATACTGTCGACGTGATAACAACGCTAGATGGATAGATACAGTTCGAACGTGTCGAATATTTCCGAAAAAAAAAAAAGGAAGAAAAAAACCCGGACAAGGATCGTGATAGAGAGATCTGATGTTCTTCTACGATACACAGCTAGGGAAAGTAGGATATCTGTTGAGAAACCTCAAGTTCTCCCGATAATTTACCTCCACCCTCAGTTGCACTTATCCCCGATTGTTTTCTTTGTTCGTTGTTTGTTCGAAATATGGCTGACCAACCACCCAATCAAAGTTCACCTAGAAAAATTCGTTCAAGGCTAGCGAAAAGCGTACCGTTCACAGACAGAACCGAAGTGTGCGTAGCGGATCCGGCTGCGTTGGTCGCGGTGCACGAGTACTCGCCCGCGTGTCTTGCGGCTACCGAGTCTATCGTCAGGGTGCTGATCCGTTTACTACTTCTGGTCACGACGATGTCCGGAATGTCGTAACTGTGGTCACTTGACACGCGTCCGACATCGATAGGCCGACCGTTCAGCGACCACACGATCCTCACCGGCAGATCACCTTTGATCACGGCGCACTGAACGGTCGCCATCTCTCCGGCATTGGCTGCCTCGTCACCGAACGAGAACGGTCTCACTTGCGGCGCGACTGCAAGTTCCAAGACAGCTTTTTTTTTCTCGAATCACGCGTGGGAGCTTCCGGAGAGGCGTTTCTGTTTTTTTTTTCTCTTTTTTCTTTGTCGCAGCTCGAGAAACCGATATCGCGGATCGCGAACGACGCGCGCTGGAGCTGTCTTACACGTTTTATCGGTTGAAGAAACGACGGAGCGTAGAGTATTCAAAATGGTTACCAGAGGGATTCGAATAGTGTAGAGGATAATGTGGCGTGGAGAAAATACAGGAAACAACTGTAAAAAAAGCAATACGGAGTAAAGTGTGAGACACAGGCCATCGCGCGATGCTTGGAAAATGCCGCGACGTGTAAATGTACTGTGTCGTCCATTATCTGCCGTCGTCTCTGGCGATAATCTTACCATGTGATTTCTACCGCGAGGATCGATATTAATATGTACAAGCGATCGATGATCGGCACGACGACGACGACAGTGGCCATCTGATAAACATGATTACGCTATCAAAGGTTACTGCGGGAAACAAAAATTTACCAGAGAGAGCGATTGAGAGAAAAGAAAAAAACGCGCCGACCGAGTTTGTCGAAGAAAAGGAGAAAAAAAGTGTTCGCGAAGAATCAATTGGCAATTTCGACTTTTTTCATAAGTCGCCAAGTCGGAGAGAAGTGAGGCGTAGTTTTAGAATGAAACGGCCCATATTCGCGGCAAACTTTTATTCCGCTCAACTTCGATCGATACTCTTTTTTCCCCTCGAGTGGTCGGCGCGCTCTTTAACAGCCATTGAACCATCGCAAAAGTTAATGAAAAAAAAAAACAAACAAGAAGATTCGTATAGTCGAAGGGGATACCGTTGACCGAGAGTACGACGGCGTGACTGTCTGATCCGGCGGCATTAGAAGCGATGCACTTGTATCTTCCAGCATGCCTCGCCGCTACACTGTCGATGCTCAAGAAGCTGACCCTCCTATTAGTAATGATATTAACATCCGGTCTGGTAGTGTCTATCGGGGTGTCGTCGAACGTCCACGTCAAATTCACCGGGAAGTCGCCTTTGACAATCGTGCACGAGACCGAGAGCATCTCGCCGGAGTTGAGCGGATCGTCGCCGAAAGAGAACTGGAGGATCTGTGGCGCGACTGCGTGAGCGAGTGGATCGAGAGAGAAAAGTTATCGCCACATCCGATACGAACTTTTCGCGTCACCCTGACAGTGAGAGGCTCCGCTCGCAGCCGTGTACATTCGATGGAAGAAATCAAATTCCACGTTCAATTTAAACGCCATATTTCTTCCACCGACTGTACTCACAGATCCGAGCGTCGATTGTACGAGAGGATATTACCTGAGGGTTCGATCTTCGAAAGGAGATAAGGATCGTTAAGGAGAAGCTAATGATCCATCAGAAAGCGACGTACGGATTTGAAGTAATGATTCGAGGGAAATGGAAGAAGAAACATGTGCATGGAAGGAAAAGAAGATGACATATGGATAGTTAATGAACTTGCAACGGTGGATGGTAGTAATGATCGTTAAGGCGGAGACAGCAGAAGAGACACGTGAGAATAACAGTGGAAGAACATAAATTATATGGAGTCACGTGCTAGTAGGGAGTCGTACGCAAGTACCGTTTACGGTCAGCTGAGCGGAGTGCGTCGTGGCGCCGGCACGATTCGACGCGGAACAGGTATATTCCCCTGCATGCCCGGCCGCGACCGACTCGATAGTCAGCACGCTGTTTTTCTTGTTTGTGCTTGCTATAATGACGTCGGATCTATGGTAACTGCTGATCGGAGTCCCGTTAAACGCCCAAGATATCTCGAGAGGCTGATCGCCTTTGGTCACGGAGCAAGTCACGGAGATCAATTCGCCCCAGCCGGCAGGCTCGTCTCCGAAACTAAAGGCCAATATTTGCGGAGCGACTGGAAACAACGACTAAATCTGTTGATTCACGTAACGACGATCGCTTCGATTGCTACCATCAATCCTGTGTACTCTCTAACCACGACTGAAAGGTTGGTATGGCAGTGAAGATAACGGCTAACACGCAACAGGGACCCGTTTCAGGAATTGCGAATTAGAGGGAGGAGGAAGAGGAGAACAGTCCTGTGACGATCGTAAGCGGAGATTGCAAAGAAGGGGCGAGAAAGATAAGTAGGGGAAGGGGTTGAAGATGGAAATCGTACCGTTCACCGTTAAAGTAGCCGATCGACTGACGGAACTGGCTAGATTCGATGCAGAGCAAGCGTACTCTCCGGCGTGCCTCGCAGAGACACCGTCGATGCTAAGGGTGCTCAGATGTTTGTTGATTCTCGTGATAGTGATACTAGCGTCTCTGGACGTGTCGATCGGCACACCGTTAAACGCCCACGATATGTCCATGGGCATGTCGCCCTTCAAGATCGAGCAAGGTACGGACACGGATTCTCCCGAGTTGGCCACCTCGGCATTGAAAGCGATCGGCAGAAGCTGCGGGCCAACTGAAGTCGTTGTTGTACAATTAGAACACACGTACAGTCTCGTTGCATACTCCTCACGGTCCTTTTCACATTTCAACGACGTTGTTTAAACAGCGTTCAGAAAGATCTCTCGAAAGGAATACAGTGTACAAGTGGAATATATCGTTTCGGTAAGGGGGTTTTCTCGATGATATCAGGCAGGATGTTGTCAGGCTGGGATACGACAAGGTTTAGTTTTGTTACTACGGTGCTGTTTGCCAGGATTGTGCATAAGTAAATGAACGGGAAATGAATGAAACGAGAGAAAAATGCACGAAAAAAAAAAGAAAGAAACGTTATTTATATATCTGTTTATAGGAACGGATAATAGTCCCGAACCATTTACGGTGAGTGTAGTCGAGTAGGACGCGGTTCCAGCCGCGTTTTCAGCGGTGCAAACGTACTCCCCCGCGTGTCTCGCGGTGATGACTGAGATCATGAGCATGCTAACGCGATCCGCGACCTTCTTCGCTAGTACGCCGGAGGAACCGCCCATCTCTTCTCCGGGATAGCTCCAACGTATGTTCAAAGGCAGGTCACCGGTCGGTACGATACACTGCAGGTTTTCGAATTCCCCGGCGTTCATTGGCAGCTTCGTGAACGAGAACTGCTGTACTGTAGGCGGCACTGAGGGTGGAGGATCGATGTATGGACGTGTGTGTGATGACAGGTCGCGAGCATTTATGTACGTGGACGTGTATGTAACGGTGTCGTACATCGCGTGTTACACAGACGTGATAACGTGTCGATGGGCTGGCTGTCGTTTCTCGATTGATGTGTTTTCAATTAAAAAAATTTGTCTACCCGAAAAAAGGAGATAAAAAAACGTGTAGGATATGGCGAAAAAAGGAGAGAAAAACAAGAGTTTAATCGATACAACCAACCCATTGGCTGTTAATACGATATTCAGAGACACGGTATTGTACTCCTTGGAGCAGCGGTTGCTACGAGTGGTGGACGCGCGAAGAGAGAACAATTCTGACAAAAATGCACCAGATTTCTTACGGTCGATTGTCGGCCACCGCCATACCAACTTCCAACATTCCAACGAAACCGCTCGTGCCTCTTATCCGAGACGTTTCTTTTTATCCATTCTACCACGACAAGTGTTCGTGAGATCTTGCAACGGGGGTCGTCGTCCGTGTGCGTGTCCGCGTCCGTGTCCGTTTCCGATTCAATCGCGGATTCACCCGGTCTTTCTTTTCCTCTTTACCACGATTTTTCGTCAATTTTTTTGATTCCGGTATTCGCGACTCTCGATTTGTACATTTTTTCGTCGAGACACTCGACTGGACGCAATTACGCCCTATTGACACCGTCGAACGGTGTCGTAATTCACTGAAAGAGGCGTTATTAGAGCTGTGAGACGACTTCGAACGGTATCGCGTAACGTTCGTCGGAATCGTCCGACACCTGGATACCTGGAAAGAATGTTTTACGCAGGATTCGGTTCGCCTATTGCGCGCGTTAATTCGACACAAATTTTCATGACAGAAAAATGAATTCTTCGATTGGCCACGTATGCAATGTCGTTTGAAAAGCGCTTAAAAAAATTTTTACGAAGATTGTAATTCAAAAATCACGAATTTATCCAATTCTCGATTATTCCATCTGATCGATTACACGCGATTAACCGAGTTCGCGACACGTAGATTCCGTAATAATAGGTAAAAGGAGCATCGAACTTACCCATAACTTGAACTTCCAGTGTTCCTCTAGCGCTGTATCCTTGGGCGTTGCGTGCGACGCAAGTGTAAGTAGCCTGATCGCTCATCCTCTCGACGTTTTCGATGATAAGAGTGCCATTGGGGAAGACCTTCTGTTTTCTGTTGATCGGTAAAACCCTGGTGTCTCGTTCCCAAACAATGCTCTCGATCGGATATCCGGCGACAGGGCAGGTCACGCGAAGTGTTTCACCAGCAACGATAGCTTTTTTGTCCATATGACGGATGAATGGCAGACCGTAGACATTGAGACGAGCTGAGTGTTCCGCAGATCCAACCTGTAATCACCGGATCATTTTCTCAATTATTCTCCTCCCCTCACGCTGTCCGTTATTCCTCCAAAAAGAAGAAAAGAGGTGCTGCTTGCCTTTGAAGCAGCAATGCATTTGTAGAGTCCACCGTCGTTTGTATGAATGCTGGAGATGTTCAGATGAGAAACCACGTCGCCGTTCACAGTCACGTACTGTCCTACTTGAAGCCTCTCAGTGTTGGATAACCGTTTGCCATCGAGTTCCCAGGTGATTTCAGGAGTCGGGTTTCCACTGGCGACACACTTTAGGAACATGCTGGGTCCAGGCTGAAGAGTCTCCTCTGAGAAAGCTTGACGGATCTGAGGGGGTTCGACTGTGGATATAGAAATATATTCGATTAAAATCACCTCTACAAAACTATGAACGTTCTCCAGAAAAGAAAACTTACATCGGCCACCAAGTTTGAGTTCGGCGGTAGCTTGAGCGCTTTCCTGGTCGTTTCTAACGAAGCATTGGTACATTCCCTTGTCCTCTTTCTTCACACTTTCGATTCTGAGCACGGGTTCTTCCAGTCCAAGTGGTTTGCCATCCTTCAACCAGGAGATAGTCTTGATTGGGTTTCCTCGGACGATGCAAGTGAAGGTAGCGGGCCTGCCAAAGTCGATGGTCTGTGTGCTAGGCTCGATTTCAGCGGCCAACGGTGCAGTGACAGTCAGAACGGTTTCCACGCTTTCACCACCGACGGAGTTGTTCACGATGCAGAGATACTTGCCGGAATCTTCGACGCGAGCCTCACGGATGATCAGTGTTCCGCTAACCTGACGTACGCGTTCGTTAAGTTGGACCGGTTGCCGTCTAGAGGAGCCTTCGATGAACTTGTACCATCTGAAACGATAGGACGAGAGGGGGATTGTTTGGCGACTCGGCTGTCGGATCGATTTTCATTGAAAAATTAACCGAGACCGTGGTGGGTGTGAAATGAAGCCAATAGAAACGTCTTTTCTCGTTGAAGGTTGATTACGATGGTGTTCGATCGACGGTTCGAGAGAAACGCGATCTGGAAAGATAGTTGGCGAAGGATGACGATCGAGACACGATGTTTCTGTTCACTTCACTTCACGCTACATTTTTCTCTATTTTCTTTTTTTTTCTTTTTTATTCATTTCCATGTTTTTCTATACGTATAGGCAGGGCTTTGGGCGTCTCTGGGCGCGGGCTTCTGTCTCTACTGCAGGCTCATTAGCGCGTGTCTCGCATACGAGTATGCAAACTTAATTAAAAAAACGAGAGAGCTTGAACGCAGCCGGGAGCGTGATAGCGGTCGTAAAAGCAGAGCAGAACAGGGAAACGGAGGGATGTACGAAGGCTGGCAGCTTGGTACGACGACTTAAATACGGCTCGAGAAACAAAAAGGTGTGCAAAAGAGAAGCGAACTTTTTTTTTCGTAACCCGTATGCATATAAATGTGTATATACATAAATATATGCACAAACAGACACATACAGGCGACGCGTAGACCACTGAGCCGAGACGTAGAGCGTAAGATATACCTAAGGGAGAAAGTGAGAAGGCGATCGTCGGTGAAAAACGTGACAGCGACGCGACACCATGTGTCTGTCGTTTATTTGCTCTCGATCGTGCCACGTGTGGGGTGACAGCTCGCCGAGCGAGGTACCGTGATACCGAGAGACGATCATTTCATATGGGATAGAGGCGAGAGAATTATCGGTGTAACAACAGAAACAAACTGAACGACGATCGATGAAAAATCAGAGAAAATAAATAAATAAATAAGCTTCCACGCTTCCCACACGTGTCTTTAATATATACACAAGCGTATATACAGCGAATCTCGGATGGGTAATCGTGGAAACGTGGATCGTTGTAGGAGCAAATAAAGATGACGGAGCTTGAAGGAAGGCGGTGATAATTGATAATTTATACAAATTTGAGAAACGACACGCGGAAACGTACACACGAATTCACGACAGGTATATAAAAATTCTGGCGAGTGTGTGAGAGAAAGAGAGGGTGTAGGTGAATGGTTTTGGTGGTGGTGGTGGTGGAAGGTATGTGAAAAAACACGAACGGATGAACGGAGGCACGAAGGTGGCGAGGACTTACCAGCCAGATATCGTGGGACTTATTGGAGGTGTGCAGGTGCAGGGCAACATTGTTCGCCCCAATTGATCGGGTGACACCCTCTCGGACCACCCGGATCAGCACCGAGGTTACCGAAGGAGAAGAGGGCCCGCATCCTTTTCGGAGTCGCGCTTCCGTCACCTATCTCGGGGTTGCGCCACACGGGGCTCCAGTTGGCACTGAAAACCAACACGTTCCGATTGGCCCCGGATACGGGATACACACTTTGTCTTTTTTTTTTTTCTTTCTTTCTATGTTTTCTTGTTCCCTCCATTTCGATGTTTGCTTGTTAACTATCTAAGAGCATCACGATCACGTATACAAAAGCAATATTAAACTCGAGAAGAAAATGCAAGACGTTCGAAGTGAACGAGACGAGCTTGTTGAACGCGAGCAATAAATCACGGAGCTGAGAAATCGGTTCTTACGACAACAAATATATATATATATATATATCGGTCCATCTTCTCTAATCTACAGTCTCTCCCTCTCTCTATATATACAATATAGATCATTGACGAGAGAAACGGCCATTAGGGATCTTGGATCATCGTTACGCATGCTTTTGCCCACTCACTTTTTCCCTTGCCTTTCTTTTCTCTTCTTTTCTTTCTCTTTTTCTTTTTTTTTCTTTTTTTTTCTCTTTTTTGTTTTCTCGAGGCTCCCTTTGTATCTCGTTCCCCCTATCTTTTATGCTTGACATATGGCAATTCGTGTTTTGCCTGTTGTTTCTTATTTTGCTCTCTCTCTCTATCTCTGTCTATCTGTGGTTTGCCTCTGTGTGATTTTTACGGTACCGCCACCCGACACGGGGTAGAGGGTAAGGATGGAACGCTTCGAAAATAGGATCCGTGCTCTGCAACGGAGCAAGACCAAACGACCAAACAAAAGAAAAAAAAGAGAAGCTAAACGGAATTAGGTGTGTACCTAGAGATCGGGGCAGGAAAGCCTTGTGCCGCACACGCCAGCGCCAGAGACTCGCCCTCTACCCCGCGGTACTTATTAAGGCCGTCTCCAGTCCCTTTTGGGGCAGTACGACCGGACGGTTCTGGAAGGATATCATTCATTGCCCAGAATAACTAACTCGTCCCCTTTCCTTTCATTCTCTTCTACATTTATTCGTAATTAGATTCGTTTCACTTTTAATTCATCAATCGATGTACAAAGAGATCTGCGAGAAAAAGGCTCCAGGGTGCGTTTATCAAATCTCTTCGTCGACTTGCAATTTAACCGATTCTGACGCATTCGCTACCACCGCAAAATTCATATACGTAATTAGTAGATAAATGCTCGATAAATTGATGGCAGCGAACGAATTAGCACACGCATATCAAAACCTTCTTCTCGCGAGAAATGAAACACGTTACGTACCTCGTCCTCTCTCCTCCAACGGTTAGTATCTTGAGTAGACCACACTTAAACAACGCATGCCACTTACCTCGTTACAGCCTCCCCCCTCGATGGTACAACGGGTCTCGTGAAAAATCGTACAGACGTCAACCGATCCGACTCATCGACGACGACGACGACGACAACTTTCGTATAAACCAGGGGAAACGACCGGGGGAAAAAGGAGAATGTCTACCTTGTGACGGGCATGGGGAACCCTTGAAACGAGTGACTTAACGCGATATCCTGACCTCTAGGAGCCAAAACCACCTCCGACGTGAATTTCTTGCCCGAGGTGCGCGGAGCTATCTTCGTGGTACCCTCTGAAACGCGATTTACAACGTATTCTCGAGACAGGGACGGGAATACCTTGTCACTGGGACAGGAAATCCCTGGGTGGAGCAGTCCAGAGCCGCCGTCATCGTCCTTGGAACATCGATTAACTTTCCACCTTCGTAACGTTCACCAGCGATTCGTGGTTTGACGTTACCAGTCGGCTCTGTAAGCGGCAAGAACGCGTCTGAGACGGCGCGTGCCACGCGATACTGATCTCCCTCTTCGACTACGCGAAACAATGGGAGGAAACGACGCAGAAAATGGCCGATTACCCGAGCAGGATCGCCACCGCCTGAGGTAAAACTCGCAGAATCCCGTCGTTTACGCTCCTACGTGGCCGTACCTGAACGTGGGGGCTGGAAAGCCTTGAACAGGACACGGCAGACCCACCGTTCGTTCGACTAGGATGATCCTCTGTAGTCTGTTCACATCCTTGTCCCGTACGTTTGGACGCACACTACCCCGTGGCTCTGTAATAACGGGGGATGTCTTGTCGTCGTTGTCGAACGCGTCTACGATGCACGATAACGCGGTGGATCGCAAGGAAGATGATAGACGTGAAGATAATGACCGATCTACAGAGGTGAATGAACGGAGGAATAGGCGAATGGGTTCTCCGAGGATGCTCACCTGTACAAAGGCGAAGGACTGGCCTGAGCCTCGCACAGTAGCGTCAATGGTTGACCCTGGATATTTGCCAATCCTTCTAATTTCGACCTAGGCGGCAACCGAGGAGGACTACCCCCGACCGGTTCTAGAAAGGAAAACGAGGAAACCGCGTTCAAGCGCCAGCGGATCAATCGATATCTTCACGTTTCTCTCTCGTGGCTCTGCAGTCCATCGCCCTAGCATTTCCGTTCAACAACGTACAAGAAATAGCAATCGCGAAAGAAGACCTTCCTTTTTCTCTCTCTCTCTCTCGTTCGTCTGTGACCAAGCGTACCTGAAGATAGGCAAAGGATGAGCCTGAGCCTGACACAACATGGCGGTGGCTGTTTGAATAGGCAACGAGAGGACCGTTATCTTAGCCGTGGGTGGCACCTTGGGTGCTGCGCCGCTGACCGGCTCTGAACGGAAGAAACGAGAGATCGAAGGTGTGTAGAGTTTCTCAAAGGATCGTTGGTAAATACCTAAAGGCTGGAAGAGGGTGACCCTGCGCCGGGCAAAGCATCGTTACCGGGGTGGCCACGTAGCTGGCGAGGACGTCGTACTTGGCAGTGGACGCGACTCTAGGCTTGGCACCGTTTACAGGCTCTACACAAGCGGCGAATTAATGGAACCTGATGAATGAACAAGCCCCGAGGGAATAGTTCACTGACCTAAACGTGGGAGCAGGGAATGCCTGGGCGTCGCATAGTAAACTGATCTCAGCTTCGCTCGCCACCTCGAACGAGTCAGACTTCGCAGACTTCGGGAACTTTGGAGACACACGACCTGCCGGCTCTGACATTCACAAAACACGTTACTTTCCTCCACGGATACTTGCCCCCTTTTTTTATGGAACGCGCCACCACCTCGTACATCCCATGAAAACGTGAAAGATCGTCCAAAGAGAGAAAGAATTACCTGTTAGTAGGGGGTGGCGAAGCCTGAGCGGCACAGGTGAGCGCTACCGGGAATCTAAAGTCGCTCTGAAAGGCTGGCGCCTTGGATCCCACGGGCTCTAGATCAAATGTACGCGAGACAAACATGTCTAATTGAGGACGAAAACGTTCACCATTTACCTGAACGACGGAACTGGGAAACCTTGTGCGGGACAGAGCAACGTAGACGAGCTTCCCGATGCACGGTCGAACAAGTTCACGCGATCTCGCTCGCTAGAGAATTTTGGCCCTTTCGCTCCAAGCGGCTCTGGCAACGTAACAATCGTGCACACGCTACGTGACTGCAGGAGCTTGGACTGATAATAAACGGTGAGAGAAAAGAGCACATCCTCTCGAGTAAAGAGAGATTTCCGCTTATTCGATGAACAAAATGGAATTAAACCGAGGAGGATCGATAAGAAGGACAGGCTGGTGTGTGTGACTCGAGTACCTGAACGCTGGTACCGGATGACCCTGCGCTTGGCACTGCATCGCGAATCCCGACGAGACTTTGGTCTTCTGCCATCGTTTTGCGTCACCGGCTATCGAGGGCGCCTTGCTCTGTACCGGTTCTGCGCCAGGCGAACAATCGAACACGTAAAAAAGAACACCTGAACATCCTGAATTCTTCCAATAATTTCTAACGTGAACTATATGTATACGTATGCTTCTATTCTGAGATGGAACATCGTGAAAAAGGAGATCCATCGGTGGTTCCCAATTTACCTGAACGTTGGAACAGGGTAAGCCTGCCCTTGGCAGAGGATCACGATGTGCGTGCCGTTTCGCCTCTCCATGAGACTCCCTTTTTCACCGAGAATCGACGGTGCTTTGCTACCCACCGGTTCTATCGAATGGGAAAAATACATACTATACACTGCGAAGCTACCTCTCGATCTCGTTTTACCTATAGTTGGGTACAGGATATCCCTGAGCTGGGCACGTTAGTACCAGGCTGGATCGCGTGCTGATCTCTTTCCAGCCGCGTTTCATTTCTCCGATCAATGCGGGAGCTTTGCTGCCAATGGGCTCTAGGCGACACAAAAGGTAAAATTTCGAAAGATGGAACGAACCGTATAGGAAAATGGAGGTTTACCTAAAACTGGGCACGGGATGACCCTGCGCCGGGCAGAACAGAATGACCGTCGACTCGCAGGCCTTTTCTTTCCAGCCACCTTTCAAGTCGCCTGTCAACGCTGGCGCTTTGCTTCCAACCGGCTCTATTCACATACACACACATACACACAGAGCAATAGGTTTCAGAGGCCACGCAGGTGCAAACTTTTTAGACAGAACTGGACGAGTGTTTACCTAAAAGAGGGTACAGGATGCCCCTGAGCTGGGCACGAGAGAACAGCGCTGGATTTTGCTCTCTTCTTCAGCCAACCACCCCTCAATTCGCTCGTGAACGCCGGAACCTTGGTCCCTATCGGCTCTACGAATTATTTCATCGTGTGCACATGCGATCGTGAAATTGGTGCTCCCGACGATTCCGCATTAACATTGTTAGTTTTCGAACATTCGACCAAGTGAGATTACGAACGAGAATATATAGCGTTTCAGATCGATTTAGTCACAACGAGACGTTAGTCTATCATCACGTGTATAGTCGTAATCTTGTAAGAATTTACCTAAATGAAGGCACGGGATAAGCCTGCGCTGGACAGAATATCACGACACTGGACCTCGCGGCGACCTCCAATATCATTCCTTTAACGATCCCCATCAACGCTGGCGCTTTGCTCCCGACTGGCTCTAATTAGATGCAAAACAAGGAAGCTGTCAGCAAGATAATGCCCGCCGACGCAAGTATTCATCGGTTACGTAATTGATCAGATGGAACAGGGGACCCTCGATTAGAAGGGATTAAAGGGAAGAACACAAGCGATAGGAGAGAAAGTCATCGACGAAACTAATACCGTCTAGACTCCGGTAGACCATATACGTATATGCACAACAGTTTCTCCCAGTAGTCTTGAATGGCTCATCGATGAACGAGAGTTGAGTGTCTTTTTTTCTCCTCTGCTTTCTTCTCTAATTATTGTTAGAGGCTTTACCTAAATGAGGGTACAGGGTATGCCTGCGCGGGACACGGCAGCACTGCACTGGTTCCTGCTCCTTTTTCCAGCCAAACGCCCTTCACGTCCCCCGTGAACGCCGGTGCTTTGCTGCCGACCGGTTCTAACAATGCACAGGCGGATGAGCGGGGCCGGAATTAATTGTTCCACTTTGAGGAGGGAAGCAAAAAAAAAAAAACGGGGGGAGCTCTCTGGACAAGCACAGAAGCGACTTCACAGAAGGGGGGCAACGAAAAGAAGGCCAAGGCAACATAATAGAAACAATTTGGAGCAATGAGTGCACTTCAGTTTTCACCGATTGCCGAACAATGAGCGTTGTGCAGCTGATCGAATCTGCCTCGAAAGTCCGTGTGTTTAAACGAACAACGCGTTTAATTAATAAAAGTCGACACAGGTAGCGGATGTGTAAATGACGGCACAGGGTACCCTTGCATGGGACAGAAGAGCACCACGTCGCTCGCCGCTTTGTTCTCCATCCAAACGCCCCTCAAAGTGCCCATCAGCGCTGGCGCTTTGCTGCCAACCGGTTCTAACGAATCGCACAAAGACAGAGGGCCATGCTGTAGAGCCAGATGCTCTTTAATCATCTTCCAAAAAAACCGATTATCCGACGATTCAGGTGCGAAGGATACCGATTATTCGGGTAGTTTAAGGAAGAACAAGTTACCTAAATGAAGGCACAGGGTACGCTTGCGCAGGACAGAGGAGCACGAGACTGGATTCTGCTTTGTTCTCCATCCATCCGCCCTTCAAAGTGCCCGTGAACGCTGGCGCTTTGCTGCCGACCGGTTCTAACGAATTTCACAAAGACAGAGAGATCCATGCTGTGAGCGGGAAGCTCTTTGACTAACACCCAACACCGATTACATTTTTCGCGGTGTCTATTTTGTATATACCTATGGGATGGAACTGGGAACCCCTGAGCTGGACAGAACAGTGTGAGATCTTGGCCACTCGAACGATCGAACCAGGATAGCTTCGTGTCACTTGAGAACTTTGGCTTCCTCGTGGCGACAGGCTCTGTCAGGGATTAGCAAAAGCATGGATGAAGACCGTCTTCGAACAACCAGGCTTACTATTTTAGCGGACTAACTGTATCCGGTTACAGAACACGATACTCGCGTGGAAACGAGCTTTTGCACCTGACCGTCGCCACTTAATGAACTTACGGAATCATCATCCCGTGAACGAGCGTGAATCTTTTCTTTTCTTTCAAACTGCTAAGTCTGTAAAAATACTCGAGGCTGATAATCTTCTCGACGTTTTTCCACGATAGATCTGATCGATGGATATTTCGCGTGATCAGAATCACCAGGTTCTCGATTATCCAAGGTGAGAAAGAACGTACGAAGAAGAATTGCGAGTTCTTTCAGATGATTAGCTAGGTAATTTGACTTGGTCACGGCTACTTTATTAGAACGTCGAGAATCAATCATGGGACAACGATTCTGTCTATCCAGGCGCGATAGTCGATGCCTTTGAACGGATAATTTAGTACCTGGTTATGGGAACAGGATGCCCCTGGGCATTGCACGGCATGCTCACTTCCGAGCCCTCTTTACGAAGGAAGAAGAACGACTTAACGTCTCCGACGAAAGCGGGTGCTTTGATCCCCATCGGTTCTAAGCAAGGGAAATAACGAAGTCACGCGGAATACCATTACATTTGCTTAGCTGCTATTCCCTTGGACAGGGTTCCCCTTTTTCACCGACATTCGACGCTTCGTTTCTTATAGAGAAGCCGTAGAGGAGAATAAAAGAAAAGGCTTTCGTAGGGATCAAGAACTGTCGCATCCTTACGACGGTACGCACTCGGATAAAGTGCATTCTTACGTGAGAACACTTGGAATAATTTAGCAAGAGTTACATCGTCAGTTTTGGCAACGCGTATTATAATTTCTCAGTGTCGTACCTATAGCGAGGAGTAGGATGACCCTGGGCATTGCACAGAAGACTAATGTCCAGGTTTATTCGTCGTTGCAACAGGGAGAGTTTCGGATCCCCGGGAAAAGCTGGCGCCTTGCTCCCGACAGGCTCTAAACAACATTGACGCTCGATTATTCCGACACACGCGACAGCCGTTTATCGATAAACGTGAAACGAGTTTCGCCGAACGACAGAAACCGATAACTAATTCAACAACCAGCCAGAGTCGTCGGTTTTCGCGGCTGGAATTTAATCGATTCACACCAGCTTGAATTTTTCTCTTTTTTTTTTTTTACCTAGTAGTAGGCACAGGGCTTCCCTGCGCGGCGCAAAAAATGGCGATGGGCTGATCCTCGGATCGTCTGATCGTACGGCTCAGATCGTCCGATGTTAATCGAGGCGACCTTGCTGCCACTGGCTCTGAAATCGATCGTTTCACACACGTGTTCGACCGTGATGAATTTTTTTCTCGAGTAACCTA